GACAATGCGACAAAAGCCGGTCAGCGAAGGTACTTTGCATGCTGAGTTTAATTTGCAGACAATGCATAACTTTAGCCAGTAATGTTTAAAGTAAGTGAAGAATGACTTTTGGACTAAGTTATAATATCACCGCTGCTGGAGGCATGTCAAATGAGGAAACGGTTAAATTAACACTAACCAAGCCTTGCGACCTTTTGATTTTGTTTTGTGCACTTCATAAATATGCTTCTCCCCTCTTGATAAGTTGCTGTCTTCCTTTTACGTTTACGTTACTCCAGATGGTGACACAAGCCTATGAAATCAACTTGATGAAGTACTACAGTTGGCAACATCATTTTCGATCACAGAGCTAAGTAAATAATTAATAGTAGATAAATGAAATTATGTATATCATAATCATTAACTGCTGCATGAAAGCCTCCAAAAATTCGCCATTCAGCGACCTCTTCTTTCTGCTATTCTGATCCATCTTGATTCAGCAAACTTTTTCAGCTTATCCTGCCATCGTTCTGGAAGTTCCCCCCCTGTTTACTCTCGCTTGGAAGTCATTGTTATGTCTCTTGTCCAGCGATGGTTTGTTCTTCACGAAACGTCTTCTCCTTACTACTACTTTGACATATTTACTCAGGCAGTGACATTGCTGACTGTTGTTTTTGCCATTATTCATTCATTCGTCGTCTTATTTTAATGTGTAATTGCCAACATAACTCTTTCAGTGCAGCGCTGCGCAATCTGCAGTATATCAGAACAGTATTCTGGCTTAAGGTCAGCCTTTCACCCATAGGTTAGCACTTGGAGCACACACTGGTCAAAAATCTTCCGTTTCAAACACAGGGACAGTTTTCCGGATATTAGCATTTTCAGTCATCGAGAAGTGCTCCATGTCATTTTTGTTGATTTCTCGTAGTCGGTTCTCAGTTGCAGGGATGAGCTGTTTGTCCCTAATATGCTTTGTTTTGCATTTCTTCAAGTCTAAGTCCTTTGCGTTCAACAGATCGCACGCCCACACTTAGGCATGATGAGTATTTTTCTTGTTAATTTTCGATTATACATTTATGTTAGTGTCGTTCACTTTGTGGATTATTCATAGGAGTTCTTCTGGCGACCTTCAGAGCCACGACAGGTAGTGGTTTAAGTAGTACCCATTTGTGTTCAGCCCCTGATTTTTTTAAATGAATGTCTTGAAGACATCTCATAGGCCTGTGATGAATAACTTCTGTAATATCGCGTCTCCCTGTCGAACACCTTTGTAGATTTCGAACTTGTCTGTACTTTCATGAATCTTCACATCCACAGTTGCATTGTTATAAGAGATGGCAATGACGCCTCGTTGTATCTGTTGTTCTGTATCTGTTCTGATTCCGAAGTTCCTCAAGGAAGGTACAGAACAGATGTAGACTTATTCGAAAGCCTTCTCCAAATTGGCGAACTCAGACAGGAAAGAAGGAAGCTAATATTCGTTGTTTATCTGAATTTCCTGTTGTACCACTTGGAGTTGTTCCATTGTACTAATTCGGCGTCCAAATTCTGCTTGCTCCCTGGGTTTTGCAGCGTCCAATTTTTCTTGAAGTCCGTTAGTTAGTACTTTCATGTAGATAACTGGTAACAAGCTGATCAAATTTTTTTGGTCTCCCTTTTAATGAGAAAGAATCACCAATGCGGTAGTCCAGTCGTCTGCAATTTTCAATTCCTTCAGGGAGCGTGAACACAAGCGCGCTAATACCTTATACAAATAAGTTTCACCCCTTGATTCCATGAATTTTACCGTAATAACGTCTTTACCAGGGACGTTCTATCGCATCTGGTCTGGCAAGATAGCTGGTTTCGAACTTAATATGTATCCTCAATTTTCTTGTCGTCACTAAAGCTGTTGCGGTCTTTCTGTGCGCAAGTTTCTGTAGAAATTTTCCACTCTCGTTAGAATCTCTTGTCTTTCTCTGATGAATGTAAATTACGTAAATATTCAAATATATTTAATTTTGCAGATTTGTCTGATTTCTCAGTTGTTTCGAAATAAATGTAACGATTTGTCAGGGATCACAGAACGCTGTACGTCGGCGACGCCCGTGGCCGCGTTTGGGCTTGGAGCGTAGACGAAACTGGAGGAGGCGGTAGAGCGGATCACTGGGTGCAGGACCCGTCGAGATGCATGTGCAGCCAGTGTCATCAGAAGTTCACGCTGACCGAGCGCAAGCACCACTGTCGTAACTGCGGTCAGATCTTTTGTTCCAAGTGAGTGTCGTTCGGCATCTTGCACCGTTCGTGGTACACCTGCTGTCGTTCATCGTCTTTCTCATCATAGATGTAGCCGGTTCGAGTCTGAAATCAAGCACCTTCACATCAAAAAACCTGTTCGAGTTTGCCAGAACTGCTACCTGAGGCTAGAAGCATCGCTTAACCACAACATCGCCGGCGGCCACCCTTCATCGTCTGAATGAATCAACCGATCAGCCGAGTTTTAGCTTCTTTTGTACTCTACGGAAATTTTTCCTGAGCCTTTCGTTTCGTTTCACGTTCACGTCTTCTTTTAATGTCTTATCAGTGACAAATTCATTGTATATGTGCGCTTAATTTATTGTCGCGCCGGTTGCGTGTGTGAAGCCCATTTTTCTGGTTTGTCTTTCAAAATAAATTGTTGTTTACTGTTTGTTTACCTGTGAATTTTCTCATTAACCATCCATCACCAACTGTTTAAATGTACGTCTAAAAGTTTGCAGAACTTTCTCCTGAGCTCTTGTATTTTGCAGAGCTGTCGAAGGGAACTCTGATATTAAAAAGAGGCAGTCACAACTGCCACACCATAAACATTATTTTTCTAGGGGAAGAAAAAAGCAGAATCTTTGTCACTGATGGCCCACAGCTTGAAGGTGCGATCGAACGATGTCCGATGGAAGATGGGACTTTACCGTTTCACGCATCTTGAAACAGTTTTGGCCTTTCTTCGTGGCTGTGATCACGAGTTGAACCGGCGCATCGAGTTGACATCGTTGCAAATTTTTCTAAACAATATGAATTGTGGAAGGCTGAAAAATAAAATCAGCTGACCATAATTCAAATGTAAACTTAACGATGGATTCCTGTGATTGCTGGGCCTTTGCCGTGTCACCCTTTTGCTTGTAGAGTGGATATTCGATGGTAGGGTTATCCATTGCTTGGACCATCCTCTCCACATCGCATTTAAGCAATCTTGAAATTTCCGTTTATGCGTGTGGTACGCATGATTACCGAGTGTTATTGTTCTGCGGTCAGTGCAAGGTCATATTTTCCGGAAGGTCAAAATCTTACTTCGATGATTCCGTCCTTCATGATCGGCCGATGGTTGGTCTTTGATTATTGTCTGTTAAGAATTGTTATGATTTTTCATAAAGTTACTCAGCTATCGTTGATAGTGGATTTGTCCTGGTTTCACGGAACACTGTAGAATAACTTTTTTAATTGCTGACATCAAAGTAAAGGCTTATTTTAGAGATTAGAGAGTGTTATTTAATGGGGAGTACGGGGTTCACCTACAGTCTTTCAACTTATTGGAAATTCGCAGTTTGTAGTCGAATGTATCGAAAGTGAAGAAGCCATAAGATTCAGCGAAAGGGGGGGGGGCAATTTACAAATCCTGTAGTCGTCTGCGTAACTGAATGGAGCTGAAAGTCCATTTTTCCGGTGCGGCACCATGCTTGAGCACAGTATTTTGCCAAAAAAAGTAGTAATAACGACAAAGGTTCCAATTATGCTAGCCCCTTCGCCCTAAGTGTTGCAGGTGAGCATCCGTGATGTTTCAGCAACCTTATGCAGGTTTCTTTGAAGGTGTATGAGAATTCGATCAGATATAAGCCAGGATATTTTGAATGCTATTCGTGTGTCACTTAGTACCTATTGAGTGGTACATTCATGGGTTTCTTTGTTCTTTTGTTCTCAAGATGGAATGTCGACATGACTGTCTGGGGATAGACAGATCTTGTACGGATTCGGTTGTAGCTACTACGTGTGGAAACTGTTTTGCAGGATGGCAATATCAGTCTTCATCTTGAAAAAATAGTCATATTGGAGGTGTTCATGGATGGTCAGAAAAGAGTTTGGCTTGGATGGAACACTAATTGGTATGATGAAACCACCATAAAAAATAATACATGTGGTCAGAACAAAACTTGCTCTATTGTAAAAATCTTTCCCTGAAACATAATGCCAAATACTGAAACGTTGTTGAGTCAGTGGTACCTTCGACGGCCATTGTCAAGGAATCATACATCGTGGTTATTTCGGTGTCCAAACCTCACCAGTCTTTGATGAGAATAAACAATATGTGTGACAGGATTTCGTTATTTTATTGCTGCCGTTGATCGATCTTTTCGTAAATAATGACGATTGAAGGTGTGTGGAAAAGGCCGACTCTGCAACAGGATGCGAGCGCTATATTTCACATTTGCTTAAGTAAACATGCTGACCGACCCAGAAAAATAAAGGGACGAAAAAGCAATTATCCCTGATGCGTTTTTCACTCATCTTCCTTGAGCATAAAATTGTGGATGGCAGTCAACGGTTAAAGTAAATGATCATATGTTATGGCCAGTACGGCTGAGTACGCCTACCTTTGCTGCGACGTTTTATCTAGAAGCTTGAAACGAGCAGCTAACTAAGTAATGATATCCAAGGTTGATAATGATCTCTATATATTTTAAGGCAGTTCTGTCCATAAACCCGTTTTAGTTAAACGGTACGATTTAATTTCCAATTAAAATCCGCAGTGCGTTGCTTCGCTTGTACGACTGTGCCCGACCCGTTCAGCCACAGGATGACATTTATTAGTGTCATTGGGGATACACACTGAATGTAACTGCGAAGTTAACCTTGAAAATAGTTAACACTCCAACTAAAATGAGGATAAAATGAATGAACACTGTGGTCGCAGTCGTAGCATCGCTGAGGGCAATAGTATTCGAAGAACGTTGCCTCTATTTTTGTAAAAGTTGAGCCGTCGTGAGCGAAAGAGGTACTGTATTTAGGAACCTAAATGACATACTGCATGTTAAAGAAGTGCCTACCATACAGAATGTAGTTTACTTTCTGCTTTTAGCTTTTCAGTCCGGAAACCTTTGGAAGCTGATTGACGCTAGTTGAGCCATTCATCATCATTGGCGTAACACCGCCGGTAGAATTGGGATAGAACATCAACGGCAAACATTGATCATACGGTGCTAAATTAAACACGAAGCATCAAAGCAACATAAGCATCCGAATTCAGATGTTAAGAAAGTTAATGTAAAGAAAGTTTAAAAGAAGCATTGGACCGTCTCAGCGCGTATTTCATTTCTTGGAAAAATTTGGAATTTCGTTCGTTCATTTGTGTCATACCGAAAATATCATAAAACAATGCAAACAGTATGGTCAATTGGATAATTGACCAATGTCGATATGACGGCCTGCGTCTCACGGGCTTTCTACTAGGAAAGAAAAGGCGAGGGAGATGTTAAAATCCTTCTTGTCGCCTGCACCAATTCGTACTTTAGGAGTTAGAAGGCGACAGGATGAACCTTCGAAGCTCAGCCACAGATCTCCCTTGGAGAAGATCGCCCATATGTCATAGGCTGAAACTTCGCATTGTCAATCGGATTGACTGATTTGCTTGCGTTCTTAAATCGTTTTTCAAGCTGTCCTCTTGGCAAAACTGTTTTATGACTTAAAGTTGAAATCGATTTTAGGAAGTTCATTCTTTTTATGCCATTTTTCATGATCAAACGACAAGAAATGAGTTCAAATGCCTTAGTATACTAATTTGTGCATGACTCGTCCAACATCACATTTCACTCAGACAGTGTACCGCCTTGTTGCTCCTAGATGCGTAAGGGACAGTTAAGCAGGCCATGGTTCAATAGCACGTGTACAACGCGTATTCTTTTGTTACCTAGTACGGAATAATTCACGTTTCAGATCGTTTCAAAATCCGGTGTTGTTTCTATTGTCATAAAAAGTGTAAATATCAAATAATATCAAATAACCTGAACAGCAGCTTTCAATAAATCAACCAGTCTGGAAAAATCGCCCAAACAGGTCATCGACCAAGGCCACGGAAAAAGGCTATACGTTGTAACAATCTATGACAGTAATTATTCTCTCTATGCAGAATTCTCCCTTTAATGAAGCAATCGTTTGATCAGAGATTTCATCATGCCAATGAGGAATTCTTACAGTCCGTCTGAAAGATTGAGCATATCATCCAGATTAAACTCTGGAGAAAGCAAGCCTAACAATAAAAGACGGAAGAATGGGGATCAGCATAAATATTTATTCCAGAGGAAGCAATTGTGAACTTTCTGAGCATGCCACCTATCCTTTTAACGGCGCATGAACAGCACTGAAAGTTGATCTGGAAAGTGGTCCAAGATTGATAACAGCTTCATAAGAAACTTATCGTTTTATGGCCAAGAGCTCAAAGTATCATACTAATATCTGTAA